TGCACAGTGCTCATTCAATAAATGCACAGCTAAACAGATGAGTTTTGAGTCTGCATTTAAATGTGACTAATGTTTTAGCACATCTGATCTCTTCTGGAAGCTGATTCCAACTGCGGGCGGCATAATAACTAAAAGCAGACTCCCCTTGTTTTGTGTGAACCCTTGATATTTCTAACTGACTTGATCCTAATGATCTGAGTGGTCTGTTAGGTTTATATTCAGTGAACATATCTGCTATGTATTTAGGTCCTAGGCCATTGAGTGAACCTGAACCATTTGATTACCATCCCAGAAAGCCCGACCCAGTTTTCCAGTCTCTCTAGAAGTATGTTATGATCGACCGTGTCAAATCGGCCAAGAAAGGATTGTCAACACATTTAATAGTGCTCATTTTCACGATACAAATCGTTGCAAAGCAACTTTACAGCAAATTAAGTTTCTACAATATTTAGTGGTAATTTATCAGTGGTGACTGTCAGATAATTTACATATGGCAGAAATGTATGGAAAAATCAATTAAAGACGTAATCAAACAGACGATGAACACTATTAACAGCAATTATTATATGTTGCAATCAAACTTGTAGCAAAATGTGGTAGTTTATGTTGTTTCAGGATTGGCATCATCTGAGGTCCTCTGATCGGTTTGCATCATCTCTTCTCAGGTGATCGGTCTGGACTGGAAGGACTGGATCCAGACTGAAGCTTGTGTAATTCCTAGCTACCACGGGATGTCAATCAAACAAATAGAGACATAATTAGTGTAGATGCTGTTCCAACCAAGCAAAAATTATTTGTTCAACCCAAGTTAAGAAATAATAATGTGCATTTGATCAGATATAACTGCAGTACAAGATTATGAGATGCATTATTTGAATGCTTGGCCAAAGAGATGTGTCTTTAATCTAGATTTAAACAGAGAGAGTGTGTCTGACCCTGAACGTTATGAATGAAATGAAAACGATGCTGTAGGGTTTAGAAGTAAAGTGTGTTCAATGGACTGAATTGTTGTTTAACAACATGCCGATTGTTCAGCTGATGAAACATATTTCCACAAGATTTTCTGTCGACAAAAACTTAATAAAACAAAACATGAAAGTTGATTGTGAGATTTGAACATGATCTACAGTACAGTATACCTGTATAGCTCAAGTAGTTATAGAGACTGTTAGTCTATATCTCACAGCCTCATTTTCAGTATATAGCATAAAATTCAATATGGCCATTCCTGAACTATTAACTCTTATGAACAGGTTCTTTTTCGTTTGTTTTATTGAAACTAATTGAATAAATCACTTGAATGAGTCTGTTCTTTAGTGAATCAGACTGTAACTATACTGACTGGTCATTCTAAAGACACACGTTATGCATTTTGTCAGCAGATCATTTGATCAATGGAATTGCATTTACCCCAAATGTTCCTTATAAAAAGAAACAATAACGGAACTGATAAGGAAATGGAACCACTGAGAAGAACCAAATTCAGAATCATTTAATTCTTTATGATTCCCATATTCAGAATTTCAGTTCAAACCTGTAGCTTGTTTATTGAAGATGCAGGACAACCACCTAGCAGTGCATTACAATAGTCCAGTCTAGAGGTCATGAATGCATTAACTAGCTTTTCTGCATCAGAAACAGGTAACATGTTTCGTAGCTTGGCAATGTTTCTAAGATGGATATTCTAGCTATTTTAATTTGCCATTTTAAAGGGATAGTTCTCAAAAATCTCACCCTCATGTCGTTCCAAATCTGTTAGACCTTTGTTCATCTTCAGAACACAAATTAAGAAGTGTTTTGCGACCTTAGGGAGCGTGATGGATTGTAGCGTGGTAGAAGACTAGTTAGGTACGCAGGAGCTAAACCATTTAGTACTTAAAAGTAAGTAGTAATATTTTGTAACTGATACGGAACTTAATAGGTAGCCAGTGCAGAGACTGTAACATTGGGGTACTATGATCATATTTTCTTGACCTGGTAAGGACTCTAGCCGCTGAATTTTGGACTGCATGTAGCTTGTTTATTGAAGATGCAGGACAACCACCTAGCAGTGCATTACAATAGTCCAGTCTAGAGGTCATGAATGCATTAACTAGCTTTTCTGCATCAGAAACAGGTAACATGTTTCGTAGCTTGGCAATGTTTCTAAGATGGATATTCTAGCTATTTTAATTTGCCATTTTAAAGGGATAGTTCTCAAAAATCTCACCCTCATGTCGTTCCAAATCTGTTAGACCTTTGTTCATCTTCAGAACACAAATTAAGATATTTTTGATGAAATCTGAGAGCTTTCTGACCCTCCATAGACAGCCATGCAACTACCACGTTCAAGGCCCAGAAAGGTAGGACATCATTAAAATAGTCCATGTGACATCAGTGGTTCAACCTTAATTTTATGAAGCTTTGGAATACTTTTTGTGCGAAAAGAAAAGAAAAATAACAACTTTATTCAACAATTTCTTCTCTTCTGTGTCAGTCTTTGACACACTTTCATGACAGTACCACAATGACGTTTGGAACGACATGAGGGTAAGTAATTAATGACAGAATTTTCTTTTTTGGGTGAACTATCCCTTTAATTATGCTACCTCCTAAGACACATAATTTTGGCCAAATTCTAAGGCAGCATCACACTTATCCATTGTTGAAAAGGATAAACCAGAATGCTTTGTGGCAAGCTCTGTAAACGAATAAATCCAACAACATGGCAGATGAAGCAATACTACAGTTCAATCTAAAAACTATTTACCCATTACTTGCTATTATCATGCTTATTCACCTGCTTCGTGCCCAACAGACTGAACTTGCTATCATCAAACATGCTAACATCAAACCCCTTTTACAAAACCTGTATGTACAAAACTAAATTCTGTCTGAGGTAGGCTGGCGCATTTAGGCTAGCAAGTTCAGCTGACTTTCTAAACTCATCCAGACAGGCCTGTCAGCTCCTGCTAAAGAGAATATAACTCACACCGTGTTTTTCCGTGTGTGAGTGTGAGTTTGCATTCACAGACGCTTAATTGTTCTCCCAGGTGCTAGATATCCATTTCAATCCAAGACATCTGTATGCAGTGAGCAGACTTTAGTGCATACACACACACACAAACACACACACTTTTTTTTCTGCACTGGCAGAGCTGAGCTCTAGCAGGCGTCCTTGTAGAAGCAGAGTGCATTTATGCAGCTGTTAAAGCGAGTCCCACACACACACACACACACACACACACACACACACACACACACACACACACATATACACACACACACACTTTCTTCCTGCACTGGCAGAGCTGAGCTCTAGCAGGCGTCCTTGTAGAAGCAGAGTGCATTTATGTGGCTGTTAAAGCGAGTCCCTCCGGATGAGGAGGAACGCACAGAGCAGAGTGAAGGATATGTGAAGAGGGAAAACAGGAGGAGGAGAGGTGAACGACTGCAACGCTCCATGCCCACATTCTGCCTCCTCTCACTTCAATTCAACACCAAAGCTTTGATGCAAACTGTGAGGGAACAGCGCCCAAACGGTTCTAGCGCTGTATCAGTCAGTGGGTGGTGATCTAGAGCGGGAACCGTGTGCTATTAGACAAGATAAACAGCAAACTATCGCTTGACTAAACACAGGGAGAAAGATGTGCTTCGAAAGAAAAAATAATGAATGGTGTGTCACCATAAATGTTCTACAGTCTACAACTAGTGGGTGCTATTATTGAGTCACGAAAAGCAGAAAAAAACAATGTTAAAGGGGACATCGGATGAAATTTTCACTTTATAGCTTTTTTTTTTGCATTTAGTTAGGTTTCTGGCTCAGAAAAACCTGAAAAGAAAACACAGCTAGTTTGTTATGGGCTGTCTGATTGTGTGAACAGAGCTGTTTTTGACAAGGTTTTGTTGGTTTACAAGACCATTGAGGAATTTTAACCAAAGTATGTTACAGATATTTCATGAAGGTCCTAAAGAATCACACCAACTTGTGTAAAATGGGCATCCGATGTCCCCTTTATTGCAAATAATAAAATGCAACTATATGATCGTCTGTATTTAGGACAACAAAATGAATATGTTTAACTTTTAAAAGGGAAGAAAAACACTGTCACATCCATCTGTCACTTGATAGGAGCCAAATTAGGCAGATGCCAACATGGACAGGTTGCACAACATACCCTTATGCTTGAAAGCCATGAACAAAACTGCATTGCAAAAAATATTTTCCAGGCAGATAGATAGATGATAGATAGACCATAGATAAGACCAATGTCCAGATAGATAAAACCATATAGGTTGTGCATCACACTTCAACTTTTGTTTATACATTTACAAAACTGTCGATTGTCTGATGGTTGTGAAACCAGTTGACAATCACCAATCTAAAACACACATAGCCAAGCACTTTTTGGATAAAATCAAGGCTAAAATCAACACTTATTTTGCTGGCAGCAATGTCTGGTAGTGGTTTAACCAGTAAGATAAACAGCGAAGACAGGTCTCCTGTTTTCTAAAGCATGTTAGTGGGGCTTGGCTACTAAAAATTAAGTGACAAAACCTAATCTCTTCTACTGTACATCCAAATGCATAGAAAAGTATTGCTACAACACATGATGGATTAGAGAATAGTTTTACCATCTGAAGAGTCTATAAACAGCCATTACTTTCCCTTTACGAGGCTGGTAAGCGCTGAGGGAGAGTGGGAGCGCTGATGAGATGAATATTGACAGGCTTTAAACTGCTGGAGCATACAGTGATTGAGGACACGGCCAATGTACATGCAGATGAATACAAATGGGATTTCACTCATGGAGGAACAGCTAGACAGATTACAGTTGGAGTGTTTAATATGCTGGCGCTTGAGGTAGAAGCTGTCCTTTTGGACCAGTCTACAAATGTCTTGATGTAATCAGGTGTAAAGGGTGTTATTTCATAAATAACTGTTACACTAAGACGTGTATCACTAAGAGTGATAATAAAGTGGATCTTATTAAGTATGTGGATGAAGTAGGAATACTCACTTCAGTTTTGCAGCATTGGATGTTTCTTCCACTAGTCTCTCCACAGCAAGGGATCTGTAAGTGATATAAAAAAAAAAAACCTGTTAACCTAGTATGAGTAAAAGTCAACACAAAGAGTATACACTCCAAAACCCGTTATTCAAAATAAATATTGTGTACCCATCCTGAAACATGAGCTTTACATCCTCATTAAATACATATCTGTTAGTATTGCTGGGAAGACATACAAATAAACTGAAGGTATCGGCAAATAAATTATGTTACAATATTATAAAGTGGATCTACAGGTGATTTACCATTTAAAAGCTGTATGACGGAAAATGTATAATTTAAATCATAGGATGAATCAGCTTTTTAAAATGAAAACAGTGCACTGGACTGCACAGTGCATTCAGATGTATCATTCGATGAATTACTGCTCCCATGAAAAAGTACACAACTTTTAAATGAAATTTAATTTACCATATTGTTTCTGATATATTGATTACACCTAGAAAACAGCGCTGAGTTTTGTGGATAAGATGACACAAAACATTTTGTTCAGATTCAGAGAAAATTTAGTATGAAAATGTAAATTATTCTTTGAAATTTTTTTTTTTATATATATAATGTAATAAATATAATTTAATATAATTTAATAAATATATATCAATCATGATATCAAAATGTATTCCTAAAAATCTGAAGCCATCTTCCTGTTTCAGTGTTGACACTGTTAATGTGTACAGTATAATAAACCTACAGGAGTTGTGTTTTTGTTGAAAAGTAAAGCAATAACTAATTTAAAAACACAGAGTACTGTGTAATTTTAGAATTCTAAAATTTGTGGTCAGTAATATTTTTGTTTTCTTTAAATAAATTAATACATTTATTCAGCAAGGGTGCTGAATAAAGTAAATAGATCAAAAGTGACAGTAAAGACATTTATAATGTTACAAAAAAAAAACTATAATTAAATAAATGCTGGTCTTTGGTACTTCCTGAAAAAAATATTACAGTTATGCATTACAGTTTCCACCAACATATTTAACAGTTTTCAACAGTGATCAGCATATTAGAATAATTTCTGAAGGATCATGTGACACTTAAAACTGAAGTAAAAGTGGCTGCTGAAAAATTACATTTTAAAATACATTCAAATAGAACAAAGTTATTTGAAATATTTCACAATATTGTTGTTTTTACTGTATTTTTTAAACAAACGCAGTCTTGTTGAGCATAAGAGACACTTCAAAAACATTAAAAAAGTCTTTTTTCTGCACAAATATCAAATGCACAAGTGTCACAACTGTTCAGTGAATTTTCTGTTTCTGGAGAGTGGGAGAGTGATACAGCACACAAAACATTAACCAATGCTCGTTCTAACCAAGTTTTCCTAATTACAATTATTACAGGCAGAACTTGAGACAGATGGTTAACGGGAAATTTCTAAGCTTAGTGAACAGCAGACAAACTAAAAAAAAATACAGTTTCCACCAACATATTTAACAGTTTTCAACAGTGATCAGCATATTAGAATAATTTCTGAAGGATCATGTGACACTTAAAACTGAAGTAAAAGTGGCTGCTGAAAAATTACATTTTAAAATACATTCAAATAGAACAAAGTTATTTGAAATATTTCACAATATTGTTGTTTTTACTGTATTTTTTAAACAAACGCAGTCTTGTTGAGCATAAGAGACACTTCAAAAACATTAAAAAAGTCTTTTTTCTGCACAAATATCAAATGCACAAGTGTCACAACTGTTCAGTGAATTTTCTGTTTCTGGAGAGTGGGAGAGTGATACAGCACACAAAACATTAACCAATGCTCGTTCTAACCAAGTTTTCCTAATTACAATTATTACAGGCAGAACTTGAGACAGATGGTTAACGGGAAATTTCTAAGCTTAGTGAACAGCAGACAAACTAAAAAAAAATACCACCCTCTTTTCCAGCAGGAATCCAGACTGCCCTCTTTTTTAAGAAGTATTATGTGGACAAATAGGCCACTTATAAAAAAGTCCACATGCAAGAGCACCAGCCAAAGCAACTTGTCTGCCTTCTCCAGAAAAGATGTTTGGGTCTTTGGACTGCGGAGAGCTCCGACAAGCCCCTTATGTCGGCTAGGCCTGAATTTCAAAGCAAATGTTGGATGTGGCACATGTCACAGGGATCTTGGGTCTGGTTTGCCGTCTTAAACCACAAGTCTTAATTTCAAACATGAAGCAGAACCATTAAAACCTATTCAAGTCAGCACGGAAACAAAACAGAGCTGCCAACAGACTCAAGTGGGAGGAGGCTGTCAGAGAATGCCAGCGTGAGAGGATGAGCGGCCAAACGAAGACTATTCTCAGAGAGAAACTTCAATTGTACGCTCTGAAGAAGATGAAAGAAAGAATTGAATATTTCAGCTATATAACAGAGAGAGACATAAAGAGAGATGCCCTGCTGGATATCAGACAGGTACAACAAAAGCAACCGCTTAGAGACAGTCTGAATCCAGACACTAATTTAGACACATTTATAACACATTGCAGTCCGTAAAGACTGCAGCGTCCCCTCAGCAAATGGTGCAAGGCCTTTCTGCTATCCATCTACTTAAAGGGCCCCATGGAACATGAAATGTGTATTTAATGGGCTCTTATAAATGACAACAATTCCTTTTATGGATTACACATAGTCGTGCATGCTCATATCATCAACCTACATGAACAGGAGATACTGTATATGACAGGCGAAATAGTTTAGCGCTGAAATTGTTTTAGCGTTGTTAGAATGTATAAATAAATCAAAAGGAAATGAATGATTGATTTTGTCAGAAGTATTACAATAATATACCATTTATTTTGACAGTAAATACTGTGCAAGTACATCTATGCCCTTTCTGAGAAAAAAAGTCTCTTAAATAAGGAATTTATCAGCATGTGTCAATATTGGATCCTTGTTGACTGATATCTAATTATGTCTATTTGTAGATACATATAACCATCATCAGTGCAAACTTAACAGGGAGGAGTATTTTACAGCAAAGAAGCAACCCTTTAAGAGGCCATTGATCATAATATGAAAATATTTATAAGCATATCAATACTGACCAGAATATTTAGAATTGTTTTTTATAATTAATATCAATTAATATCTAATAATATTAATCTCTTATGCTCAAGAAGGCTGTATTTATTTGATAAAAATACAGTAAAAACAGTAATATTGTGAAATATTATTACAATTTAAAATTATTTTTGCATTTGAATATTGTTTTAAAAAGTAATTTATTCCTGTGATGCAAAACTGAATCTTCAGCATTATTACTCCAGTCTTCAGTGTCACATGATCCTTCAGAAATCATTCTAATATGCTGATTTGGTGCTCAAGAAACATTTCTTATATGTGAAAACACTAAAACACTTCTGTGAAATACCTTCTTTTCAGGATTCTTTGATGAATAAAATGTTCAAAAGAACACCATTTATTTGAAATAAAAATCTTTTGTAACATTATAAATGTCTTTATTGTCACTTTTGTTCAATTTAATGCATCCGTGCTTTAAAACAAAACTTACTAACATTTTTGATAAAAAATATTTTACTTTCCCAAAACATTTAAACAGTGATGCATATGTGAGTTAACACCTGTTTTTGCTACATTCCCATTCATTTATTAAATTATGACTAAATAATAATAAAAAATATAATAAATAAGACATTTAAAAATACATTTAAAAAGGCAGATCTGGGTGAACAAGCACTAATGACTGCATGGGAAAAGCATATTGCATTTACTCGTCAGCAACACGCCATTAAAACTGGGGCTGAATTTTCTAGACTTACAAGACACGATATGTGAAGTTCACAGTATCACGCATCCGGCTCAGCTTTAATGTCTGAAGCCCCGGGCATGTGCACTGACCTACAGATAGCACTACTGCTTATGGCCAGACCTAACAGCATTAAATAGCACTGATGTGTGTGCATGCTGAAATCTACCAATGTATAGCATTCACAGCCTACTGGTAAACCCAAGCTACATGCATACGCTGAATTTTACTGTAACATGTATAAAGTAGCTACACTAATAAGACAGTTTAATGTATGTGACATTGTAATCTAGTTAATCTAGTATAATGGTAGACACATGATCTACATATTGGGCAAGACTGAGGGAGAGCTTAATTCATACAGTAATGGACAGCAGAGACTAATCCTCACTGCTGATGTGGTGTGATCAGACTGATTCATTAATCACTAGTAATCCCACGCTAAGAACGGACACAATATGAGGACAGAGGTGAGGGAGGAACAGGCTGGAGTGCCAACAGGAAGTTGATGACAACAGAGAGAAAAACACTGTGACAGTGTGTCAATAAACCAAGGCTGTAAATCATTTAAAATGTTTCATCAAATGATTTACATGATATTCAACACAATTAATCACATACATATTAATAGCTGTTGCACTGTAAACCCTAACAAGTTAGTAGAACTCAGTAATCAGCGACATAATTTTTTTTCAAGTTACTTCTACTAAAGATTAAGAACTTTAAATTTTCATCATGTTAACTCATTATATAACTATATTAACTTGTACAGCCCATCGAAACGGCAACATAACAGAAAACCCTATAAATCCCATCATAACATTAAACATGTTTAACATCTCTCCATATACACAAAATAACACTTAATTTCAACATTTATTATCTTTATATAATCTAATGAAAAGAATGCTGGGGACTAGAAATCTGCTGCAGCTCATTCAGTTTAAGTTCAGTTTATATGCATAACTTTTTTCGGTAACGCTTTAGATTACAACCCGCAAAGAACTATGTAAGTATACTGAATTTACGGTGTACGTTTCTGTAATTATAGTGTACCTATAAAGAACATACCTGTAGGTATAAGGGAACAATGTGTTACGTTTGGGTAATAAGGGGGTAACAACCAGATATGCAACCTGCAAAGAACTGCGTAAGTAAAATGAATTTACAGTGTAACTTTTTTGTAATTATAGTGTACCTATTCAGTACCTCCGTGTAGGTATAAGGGAATAATATGCGAAGTTTGGGGAATAAAGGGGTAACAACCTGTAAAATTACAAATCATTTATACTGTAAGTATTTTGAAACTAAGAGGTGCTTATTCTAATATTACGTGGTATGTATGGCCTAAACAACAATATTATGTTTGGGAATTATTTAGACAGACGATATATACTTTTTATAATTTTATATTGGTATTTTATTATAGGCGTATAGGTATTTTTTAACCATGGGGTACACATTCTATTATAAAAGGACGACATTATGGAGATTACTGAACAACAAAACTGCACATCTAGAGAAATGAGTTAATGAGTTTCTGCTATGATTTATAATTCACGAGTCTACTTACCCTATGAAAGCTTATTCGTCGATTTCAGAAACTTCTCAACACCACTATCACCAAATAACTTTGCATGATATACCATCAAGGTTCAACGCAGCTTAAAACAAGTTTACCTCTTTCCAGCTGTTCGCAGAAAAAATACATGATACAACATTTGTATTTCAGAGGATGTATACTGTGGTGTTTTTATAGCAAAAAAAATGTAGAGGGTTTAATTTGGCCATCGAACAATTAAATTAAAACTAGTGCAATATTTGTCTCTGTAATTACTGTGCAAATATACACTTGTTCTGTGTTTAAGTCCAACTTGTTCCCCCCTTGTTCCATGTAGTTACAGGGTAAATACAACATGTGCGGGCTGTAAATTAAAGTGGTGCTTTGTTCCCCCCTTGTTCCATGTAGTTACAGGGTAAATACAACATTTGCGGGCTGTAAATTAAAATGGTGCTTTGTTCCCCCCTTGTTCCATGTAGTTACAGGGTAAATACAACATTTGCGGCTGTAAATTAAAGTGGTGCTTGTTCCCCCCTTGTTCCACGTAGTTACAGGGTAAATACAACATTTGCGGGCTGTAAATTAAAGTGGTGCTTTGTTCCCCCCTTGTTCCATGTAGTTACAGGGTAAATACAACATTTGCGGGCTGTAAATTAAAGTGGTGCTTTGTTCCCCCCTTGTTCCACGTAGTTACAGGGTAAATACAACATTTGCGGGCTGTAAATTAAAGTGGTGCTATATAAGAGGTCATACATACCCTGTAATATTAGAATAGGTACCCCTTAGTTTCAAAATACTTACAGTAGAAATAATTTGTAATTTTACAGATTATTACTCCTTTATTCCCCAAACTTCGCATATTGTTACCTTATACATACACGGATGTGCTGAATAGGTACACTATAATTACAAAAAAGTTACGCTGTAAATTCTGTTTACTTACGCAGTACATTGCGGGTTGTAATCTAAAGCGTTACCCTTTTTTCTAAGAAGTACAAGGAACTTTCAGTAATATTTGAGTGAAATGAAGTCATTTCATGTAATTAGAAATTAAAAGAAAACCCCAAATAAATAAGGATAATTTGAAGATATTATTGTACATCACTGTGGCAGATGAGTAGATAATATAGAATGTGGCTGTCAATATATAAAGTATAAGCCTAACACTGACCAACAATCACACCAATCATTTTTGCAGTTGATTTGTCTGAGGTTGAATAGTGCCTACCTCCCTATTTTTGTGTTGTGTCTTGCCTCAACCGCACAGCATTTTTTAAGATGCCGTCAAGTTGATTGCCACTGCCAGAGAAGAAAACAAATTACATTTTAAAGATCAATTTTTAAAACCTGACAAGAAAATGAAGAGATGTGATGGAAAAATCATACAAAGCGGTCTCAGCATTTACTTTGCAATCAACAACAGCTTTATATTGCAGCCATTAAGCCCTTAAGAAGGATCCATTTCAAACTGTACACACACACACACACACACACACTTGTGCTAATGTGAGTGCAGTTCACGTGGGGGCAGGAAGCAGGGGACATTCAATCTCCACCCTGCAGTCATTCTACAAGCATGCAATCCTCCTCTTTATCTCTGCATAGCATCTCATCTTACCTCCTCAAGGACTCATTTTAAATGCTTAAGGATTCCAAATAGTTTTAAAGGCATTAGACATCAAGAGAATATGTCCAAAGTTCACTAGAGTTCATTATGGAATTTGAAAACAGCATCTTCTCCATATGCGCAGTATAGCTGACACACAGCAAAACATTACTGCTTTCTTACTCAGTCACCTCTTTCTTTTCTTTCTCAAAAAAATATACACATATATTCATTAAGCACCAAATGCATGTCGATTTTCTGTTTTATCAGTGAAATTTACAGTCACTAGCACAAAAGCAGCAGTAAAGACTTGTATATTGTTACAAAAGATTTATATTTCAAATTAATGCTGTTTTTCTAATCTTTTACTGAATAAAAATATTCAATGATAATGATAAAAAATGTTTCTTCAGTACAAAATCATCATATCAGAATGATTTATGAAGGATCATGTGATTGAAGACTGGAGTGATGGTTGCTGAAATTTCAGCTTTGCCATCACAGGAATAAACAACATTTTAAAAATATATTAAAATAGTAAACAGTTATTATAAATTGTAATAATATTTCAAAATATATTCTTTATAAAAACATTTGCAAAACTTACAAATATTTTTAAAATCAGTTTTAGCTTTTTTGTTTTCTGTTGAAGAATTCTATTTGATAGAAGTGAAATCACTTTATTAAACTCTACAGTATATCATCTCAATATTTCTCAAATGTTTCTTACATGTTCGTTGCTGGGTACATTAGTGTAATTAAAGTTTTAATTAACCGTGATAAATGAAATGAAAGCATGTCAGTTGAGGTCAGGGGTAAAATTGGATTACACGCTTGGGAATCAAGCTCAAGATCTGGATTCATTTAAAACTAAAAGCCAAATAAGCATATGGACACCCTAAGACCACATCATTTTGTTCTATATAACCAATTATTTCATCTAGAAACTCTCCAAAGCCCTGTGACAGACTTTCACCCAGTTGAATAGGGTGTAGGGTATTTCTAGTTAGTGTTCACACTATCAAATCTCAAACTGTATACTTCTAATCCCGCAACACCTAAATATAGCATGTCTGGAGTATCCAAAACACACATTTCCAAAAGAGAGAGAGTGTGTTCGGTGCAGTTTCAGTGTGTCAGTCTGTAATCCGGGTCACTTTAATTGAATAACGCAGATTATTTTGTCTCAGGGAAGCTATTGTAGACACAGCCACTCACTCTGTATCACTGTTGTCATCGAGAGTGGACATACGAAATATCCTCATTCTACAGACTGTAAAAAGATGAGTCAGAGATATGTTTGAGAACAAAAATAGCAGCAGGCACGTTCCCTGCCAAATCCTGAGCTAACCTCTATGTGCCCTACTAACCCCTAGCTAGTGAATTTGGGATTAGCGGATGGAGAGAGAGGTAGGAACGCCTCATTTCATTTACTCACACGGAACGAGGGCTCGCTGAGGGGTCGGCTGGTGGATGGAGACATGATCCGGTCCTACGGGGGTGAGGGAGGGGACCCAGATGGAGAGGAACCCATCGTTCATGCCATGGGACTTCCAGGGAGTTCTCCTCCCTGCACTGCATAAGACATCGGTAAGACCTCCACAGCGTCCCCTTTCACGGGTCACTGCCTGTCCAGGAACAGGGCAAGCAGTGTGGGCGGGGCATAATGGGAGGAGCTTCTGGTGTTTTCCCATAACCAAATAAAAATTATGGACCTGCAGAACCAGCTGACAGGACCAGTGCTTGACAACTACACATGTGAGATTAACCACGCTGTGGGGGATTGGATCCATCTGGGGACATCCCAACTGAAATAGCTCTAGGATGCATTAGAGAGAAAACACACACACACACATACAGAGCACTAAATTTAGCCGATGGTAATCATCATTCATAAATGATGAATGCTGCAAAATCATGCTTGTCCTGAGAGACTCTGGACCTCACCCAACTCACAGTGTGTGCCTCTAAAAACAGCCCAGCGAGGAGGAGGAGGACAGTACTCACACACACACACACACACACACATACACAGCTCTTCCTGCACCATTAAAAGTCCTTCGAACAGCTGAATGTAACTTCTTTACATAACTTACTGAGACACAAGAAATGACTATGTTCTTCTCTGTGGTCTGGCATTTAAAGAAACAATGAAAAAGTTAAACGTAGAAGATGACCAATAGCGGGGTCTTCTGTGCATTGACCTCCCTGTTGGTTGGGCCGTCTGGCTGCTGTATCGGATACAAAAGGACATTTTAATGAGGAGATTGACTCTCAGAGCACCACAAAGGATTTAGATCTCAAAAGATTCTCAAAGCCTGACAGTGTGGACGAAGACAGACCTGTGTTTGGACAAGTATCACTCATGAACAGCTGAATCACATTTCCATCATCATGTGGGTGGGTGAGGTTTAGTCATGGGTGGAAGCAGGTTTTGCAATGTTTTCAGTAACACTGTTCAATACAGTGTAAAGCTCAATTTGCTAATAGTGGTTAAATGCTTAGATAACAAACTAATAATGAACAACATTTGTTGCAGTATTTATTAATTGAGGATAATGTTCATTTTGCTATTGTTCATAATTAATTAATGTACGATACCATTCAAAAATTATTTGTTTGAAAGATGTTCCTTAAGCTGCTAAGGATTTGAAAAACACAGTTAGAAATATTAGTAAGAAATATTATTTCAATATATATTTGAATATATTTTATATTCAGTGTCACATGATCCTTCAGAAATCATTCTAATATACTGATTTGCTGCTCAAGAAACATTTCTTCTTCTTATTATTTTTTATTAAGTTAAAATGTTAAAAACAGCATTTATTTGAAATAGAAAGAGAGTAACAATGTAAACGTCTTTCTTGTCAATTTTGATCTGTCCTTGCTGAATAAAAGTATTCCTTTCTTTCTTACTGTCTTCAAACTTTCAAAGTAACAGTATTATTGAACATAATACATGAACAAATGAACTTGAAATGTAAAAGATATATTAGTATATTTAGAAATGACGACTGACCGAGATTAATAAATGCTGTAAAAGTTTTATTAATTGTTAGTTTGTGATACCTAATGCATTAACTAATGTTAACAATCTTGAGGTGAATTGGGCATTTGGATACACAAATATAAACAGGATATTGTCTTTCTTCATAGAAAATAACTAATATGGATGCAAAAACTAGACTTTATTTAACTGCAGATCTTGTTTGATGGCAAGAAATTGATGAGCTTCTCTGAGCACATGTTGTGAAATTTACCATTGCCTGTGTAATTGTGTCACCCTTCATCTGGGCAAATCCAATTAAGAGCACTGGAGGCTTGAAAAGAGAAGAGCTGGAAAAACAACTCGACATGGACTGACTGCATGTGTGTGAAAGTGAGAGTTTACAAGCTCTGTGCACAGAGTAATGGCTTTGACGGTGATAAAAATGCCATGTCTAATGGTTTTCCTAGAAGCAAAATCAGGGAGGAGACATAACAATGTTAGCGACAATCAAATAAAGCCCACTAAAAAGGGGAAAATCTATCTCAGATGTCATGCAACACTACTATGCAAAAGCACAACCTATTTCAAGGAGGAAAGAATCGACACTGTTCTAACATCTTTACTTTGACAATCAACCCAATTCACACCTTCAATAGTGCAAAACACACAACTATTCTGAGTCTCGAAATGTTTCGGTGTGTGAATATTGAAATGTTGCATGGTTCGCTACTATAGACACATGTTGAACTCTCACTCTCACTGTATGTCAAATCTGCATGAAAGGAAGTGATACAGCTTTGGAAAAAAACACATTACAGTACATGACTAAAAGGAAGGTCATTCATTTTGAGGACTGGACATCACTCACATTCGTGGCTTTTTGGAAGGATCATTACATTGTTAATCTACAGTCAGGCCTCTTCACATTTCATCTTGCAGATTTATGAGTCCTGTGAGGATTATAAAGGTTTTTATGTGCTACGCAGATAATGTTGACGAGGAAAAAAAGCTTTAAAGGTAATGCAACCCTAACATCCTACTGTGTTTACATTTTACTTAGGGATTTGGGAAATCCAACCAAAGTCCTTTTAATGATGCTGTATATTACTGTATCTCACAGGAGTAATATGTGGACAGTGCTGAGCTGTTTTATTGACTAGTTTCACAGTGCATAGCATGAGCTCTGGCTGTAAGACTATCTTATCTTAACATAAAATGGCATTGCTTTGTCAATAATTAAGCATATAGTCATATATAATGTACTGTAATATAGTCTGTCTGAACACATACACTGCCTACAGTTCATCTAATGTCCTTTGTCTCCTCTAGAGGCCTCACTGGACAGCAGTATAACGGAAAGACTGTGTTTTTATGGTGATATGACAGCTCCCTGTGTAACACTATGTGTGGCGAAAGGTCATTATGCCAAAAGACAAACATGATGCTAGCCATATCAGGAGATACAAACACTAGAGACTAAAAACAGCTCCACGGCAATAAGGCCAAGCAGAAACATCTAGCAATGAATTTCACTGCTAGGAAATCTGTACTGTATGAATACATACTGTGTGCAGGGAAGATGTTACATGTTCACTTACTGTGGTCTAATATAACAAAATACTAGATTAAATTAACTAAATGTCAGTGTTGTTATTGCTAAATAAAACTAAATAATAAAATGTATTAATAAAATATAAATATTAGATGAATAACTTGAACATAAAAAAAAAAAACTTGAATTAAGCCTTGGCAACTGTAAATTGAAGTTCTAAAATAAACAAACAAAAACAAAAATAGCAAAAGCACATATCAATATTACTGAAAACAACTTAAAGTTAAAATGAAAATGGAAAATAATGCTAATTCAAAATATTATAATAGTATATAAATTACAGCGGTGTCAGTCTGGATCTGGATTTCTATATATCCAGTTATGGCCTAGGAAAATGTATATAGTCTCAATGCAAATTAATTAAGTAAATTTCCCTTTCACAAATTAAATTGGCTGCAATGCAATTAAGTTCAAGAACTGTGTTGCACTCGCTCACTTTCTTGAACTAAATTCAATAGGCAGAACAAAATGTAATATATGAAAACAAAATTAAGCTTCTGGCAAAACATTATCTTCACGATAAGAAAACGACCTCTGCAAAGACAGCGCTGCTTCATGATAAAAGTGTATCCAGTCTTGTGTTCTCTCTCAGGATCCAGCTGTCTGCCAAAGCAGGCCAAGCCATGCAGATGGGAAGGCAATCTGTTTTAATGGCTCATTTCTAATCACCATATTAGAATAGATTTTGCCAGGACCTGCTTTACATATCGCCAACATTTATCATGTTTTTCAATTGAGGTCTAGAACCTGAGCGAGCTGGATGTCAATATATGCCATTCACTATCCCAGAACATTAAAGGGATAGTTCACCCAAAAATTTAAATTCTGCCATTAATTACTCACCCTCATGTTGTTTCAAATCCATAAGACCTTTGTTCATCTTTGAAACACAAATTAAGATATTTTTAAAGAAATCCGAGAGCTTTCTGAACCTATAAAGACAGCAAAGGAACTACCACATTCAAGGCTCAGAAAGGTAGGAAGGACATCATTAAAATAGTCCATGTGACATCAGTGGTTCAACCTTAATTTTATGAAGCTATGAGAATATTTTTTGTGTGCAAAGAAAACAAAAATAACAACTTTATTCAACAATTTCTTCTCTTCCGCATCAGCCTTCAAAGCATGTTCACGACAATACCATGACACTCTTGAAAATGTTATAAAAACACTCAATAGTTTACGCTCAAAAGCTTTGAGAAAATTTCGGTAACACTTTCTATGAAGCCCGTATTTATAATACATTATAAAGGTATTCGTAAGGCATTATAATGGATGCATAATGCATTATAAAAAACCTTATAATATGTTGTATCATCTCATGAATATTCATAAGAACAGTTTTAATATATTATAATATTTACTTATTTGTGGTTATAGCTTTTAAGAGTATGATGATTTATAACACAATGAACACGTTGCATCCACTTTTACAATGGATTATATTTATCATAGTTATAATGTATTATAAGTCTCATATCTTGCCATTTTTCTTATGCTACTTTACTTAAAGCGGTCAAAGACCACTTATAAGTAGTAATAATAATAATAATAATAATAATAATGATAAAAATTTCTCTCAAACAGCCATAAAATCAGATCAGATGAATGTGTAATATGACACATTTGCTTTGAACTATTTTTATTGTAATATCAGTTTGATTATTTTGATGGTACCCTTTAGACAGCTGTTGATATGTAACTCTGCAACTACATATCAACTAGCAGTCATTAGAGTGTTAGTATGTCTGCTACTGTAAATATTTACACTTTATTTTGATGGTCAACCACCAACAGATAAACTGATTACTTTGCAAGTACGTCAACTTATTCTACCATACTAGATTCTACCATTCTTGAGCATACTAATACTCTAATGAGAGTTAGTTGGCACGTAGTTGCAAAGTTGCTTATAGTCGATTGATTAAGGAGATCATCAAAATGAAATGTAACCATATAAAACATTGCATTTTTTTCAGTTGGAGTATAAAGCTCACATCAATTAATTAACATTAGCTCCACAGGAAACACTCAAATAACACTCAACATCTAACCACTCACAAGCTGTACTAAGATACTGTGCAGATCTTAAATAAACAATGTCAAGATATGATACAGTCCATTATTCTGTAAATGAAGTAGATTTAATATGGTGTTCATTGTGTGTTATAAATAATCATACTCTTAAACGTATAACCACAAATACGTAAGTATTATGATGTATTATAACTGTTGTTATGATTATTCATGAGTTGATATAACATATTATAAGTTTTTTTATAATGCATTATGCATTCATTATAATGCCTTAAGAATACCCCTATAATGTACTATAAATACGGGCTTCATAGAAAGTGTTACCAAAATGTCTGCCTGATGCTACTGCAAAAATCTTTATATTAAGCATAAAGGAGTTTATGCTCACTTCAAGAGAAATTAGACTTAAACTATTTCTATTATGGTCAAATCGTGTAATCCTGATACACAACCAATC